TATATATATATATAATTATAATAAGATAAGATAATAAGATAATTCATATTTTCAACCAAATGTTTTCCTTAATATTATTTCCTATTTGATAGATTTTTTTAGGAAAAAAAAACTACTCAAAATGTTAACAATTGTATATAATAAGATATTTTTTTTTCTTAATTATTCGCTATTTGAACAAATTTTTTACACTACTAGAAAAATATCATTTTCCTGCGAATTTTCCTACAAAAAAATATTCTCAGAAGTTGTTTGTGAATTTTCTTGCAATAATAATTTCACAAAATTTTTTACGAATTTATTTACAAAAAATAATTTACAGATATTTCTTACAAGTTTTTTTATGAAAAATAATCTACAAGAAATTTTTTACAAATTTTGCTACAATTTTAATGATCATAGAAATTTTTGTCCATGGTAGAAATTTGCAAAAAATATTGTAAGAATTTTATTTTCTTTCTTGCAAAAATAAATTTGCAAGTAATATTTACTAAATGATAGAAAAATTTCGCAGGTAACTTTTTTTGCAGAATTTCCTGGCAATTTTAATCCACAAGAAAAATAAAAAAAAATATTTAAATTTATAAATTTAATATTTTAAAAAAACTTCAAGTCCCACATCGATTGAAAATAAAATAATTAAAAGAATATATAAGTTGAGACATTACTTACCTAACAAGTTGGTTTGTATGGTTGAGTGTTAAGCTTATAATTTACAATCTTAGGGTTTAAAAGATTATGTATCACATGTTGGAGGCGTGAAAACAAATGCTTTGGATGAATTCAATGTGAGCATTTGAAAGTTGAAGAATTATTAATAAAATTTGTAGTAATTTTTTAATTTTTTTTACAAAAGATATTCCTGCAGAATATCTTGCTAAAAAATTTGCATGAAACTTTCTTGCGAATTTTTTTTTGCAAAAAATTTTTTTACGAATTTTTTTCACAAGAAATTTCACAAGAAGGTATTATTTGCGGATAAAACTTTGCAGAAAAATTTGTAGGAATAATGTTTGTTGCGGATTTTAATACAAAATTCGTAGAAAAAGTTGTATGTAATAAGAGAAATTTTAATAGTGTTAAGAGAATAAATTATTCAAAACGTTAACAACTCTATATCATAATATTCTTTATATGGACGAAATTTTTTAGGAAAAATTACTCAAAATATTAATAGTTTTATATATTAAGATTAATGAGTAGAAAATGTTCCATCTAATCCAATTAATACATATTCCAAATGTCCCAAACAACACTGATATAAATTATATGATTAGTGAATACATGTTTCAATAATAGGGGTGGCAAAAAAATAATATTCATAAATACTCTCTATGAACCGAAAATGGATAATTAAATGAATATCAAATTATTAACGGAATGAAGATGAATAGTAAGATATTCTCGTATTTTGAAATTATTAAAAAAATATTTTATTTATATATAAAGTAATTTAGTCTAATTTATTTTTATTATATACATATGTTATAATTTTTTTTAAATAAATGCTACAACACTATTTTTTTTAATATAAATATTTGTTTTAAAATTATTTTATTTTTAGTTTTATTTTCCTTTTATTTAAATTTTTACATTGTTACAAATATGATATCCATAGATACATGTATATATGTATAAAATGTATGAATATACCTCTGGTCACTCGCTCACTCCATTATTACCTCTAATTATGATCAAATACCTAATTAAATTTTTATTATTAATATTAATTTTAAGTTGAATTGAGTTAAAAACTCAATCATTACTCAATTCAATCCGTTAAAATGTATTTAAATCGATTATATTGAACATGTAAGTTGATCTCAACCCACTTACACACGCTATTGGCCAAATTATGATAAAGATATATTGCAACATAATTCAGAAATGCATCCAGATTTATAAGGTTGTCCTAATTTAAATTTCTTATATAAATTAGTTATTCAAATAAACTTAAATTAATAATTTAACTATTTAAATGAAAAAATAGCGTTGGGAAATCTTGTTTAGAAGTGCACATCTCCCTTTGTACATACAAGCAAATGGAAAAACTACGTTCGCAAATCTGGTTTTCAAACGAAGATATTTCTGTGGGTATATAAGAAAAAGAGTATCTAGGTAAATATTTTGAGGGAATTAGTACTTATATAAATATTTTTCTTTAAATGATTATAATAATGAAAAAGTCTAAAAAATTAAGATTTATTTATTTCTTCTATAAATGTCCAAACAATAGTATATTAGCTAACAAATTAATTCCTTGGGACTTTAGAGTACATATTCTTCAGTTTCAGTTTCAGTTTCAGTTTGTTCCGCCACTATAATTGCTTTATCTTGGTCAGTTTCCATCATAAACTTCACAGGTTTCAAGCTTATTGATGAACTGAGATTTCATTTTTCAACAAAGATTTGCTAACAACCTGCGTGAGAGAACAAATACCACATTGACTTCTCCTATGATTGTCTTGTTCTTGTACTAATTTGTATTGGCCCTCCTATTGTCCTTCACAAATCAGACACACTCGAGTCAACCACCTTACTAGTTAAAACCTTTTTTCTTCACTCCCACATTATTCTTTATCCAAACATGATTTTATCAATTATGCAACACTATTTGAATACAGGTACATTATCCCCCACGTACCCAATTAACACCTAGAACCTTTTTCTTTGAATCTTTTAATAAACACCCTTTCTTTCACGTTACATAGCTCACATAATATATATACATGTAGTATTTATGCTACAAGAAATTTTACTACAACTTTTGGCTATTAGGTTCTTCACTTTCCTCCCTTAACAAGAACATGGTGATGCAACTCAAGCTCCTAGCCTTAACCTTGTTGTTATGGTTGAGGGTTGAGGGTGCATTAGGAGACCCTCAAATTAGTTTGCTGAACAAGGGGTGTAGCCAATACAACGCAACCAATTTGAGCAATTTCTACGAAAATCTGAACGCAACTTTGGATAACCTTATAGCACAGGTTAGGAAGCAAAGAAAGCACTTTGCCATGGCTCAAGAAGCCAGAGGAGCAGACCCTGTCTATGGCATGTTTCAATGTAGGAACTACCTCTCTACGGCTGACTGCGCCGCCTGCTTCGCCGCCGCCGCCGCCCAAGTCCGCAATTGCTCCACCGGAGCCAACGGTGCCCGGGTCATTTATGATGGCTGCTTCCTTAGGTATGCCTCCACCTATACTAGTATTATTTGTTCATATTGTTTTCTATCTATGACTATTCCTTGTGCCTAACTAATAATAATAATTTATAAATAACTATTTCATAACAACATGATTTAAACTTTATACCATTGATACCATTGATAGTTCTTATAATTAGTTGCATGTGTAAAAAGATTATGGACATTAAATTTTTAAAAATTATATTATGTCATGATAGTAAGCAAAATTGCAAATAACATGCCAAATTCTATTGATATTTGCATATGAGAAAAGGGAAAAATAATTTAATGGATGTCGTGTTCAACGTGGAGTTGCAGTGGTTGGACTTTTTGAGAGGTGGTGTGTGTTAGGATATAGACAAGTCCCACATCGATAAAATAAGATAAGAAATAATAACTTATATAACACAAAATATACTTTAATAAAAGAAAGGCCTTTTGGATAATGACTAAAAGCAAAACTGTGCAAGGTAAGACACAAAACGGATAATATTTCATCATTGTGGAGTATGTTTGTCAGGGTTTATCCCTTCATGCTATAATTTTTTTTTTAAATTTTCTTTCTTTTCATTTTGTTATTACGCCGGCTCATTGCCCAGTTATGCATTCCTTTATAGTGGGGTATGCAACAGAGAGTATTTATTATTCTGCTGTATAATAAAAACATACGATATGATATGATGTATAAAAATATCATTGTCAGCTTTATTATTCTGCTGTATAAAAAATAAAGAACTTTAAAATTTTTTTGAATTTCAATTGCTTCAATTTGAAATTCTTACATTTTTGAATTTTTTTATTTGGATCAACAAATTGAATTCCTTGATTAAATTACTTTCTCCTTCTCAAATCCTTTGTCCAAACAGACCATAAATAAATTTCAGCAGCTAAGAATTTTCATTCTGCTTTAGTGAAGAATCGTGGTTTAGAATTCTTGAGAGATGTTTACGCTGAATTTGACAAGAGAAGAAACAGATGATTACGTACAAGAGGACAGTGAACTACAGGGTCTGAACCTAGACAATTTCTGCAACACTCAAACTAAAATAACATAAACTATATGTAAATGGAATATATATAAATAGATAATTATATATTCATTTTTAATTGGCTTAAATCTGCTGGTATATAATTAAAGATAATTTTTAAGTTTATTCAAGCCATGTTTTGGTATCATAATGTTGTTGCAAACACAATTTATTTGTATCTCAGCACATTAGTAGTTCTCTGAACCAATAGGCATTTAATATACAATATTATCTAGTGGTCAGCAGATCTTTAAGTTGACCCTAGCGCGATTTTATTTATTTATTTATTTAATTTAATGAAAAGGGTGACCCATTTTCTAAAACTATATCATGAAAAAAAAAAAAATATATAATACAAGTACACTGTATTTACTACGATGTTATTAGTGAGTTGACAATCACCAAGTGATGTACATGTAATGAACTAGTACAATTAATGTATGTCACAATTATCTTTACAAGTCATACAGAGTATGTGATTTCTTCTATATTTGATAGAAAAATTGATTTTATGCTATTCACTACCTAGACTTATTGTTAAGATGTAATTTAAAATATATTCAACTCACGTAAGTTACATTGCTAATCAAATCTTGAAAAACTGTCCAATGCATGCTGTTTATTTTGAAAGGATTTTGAGGTTTATACAAGTTCTATATAATGATCAATTATGTTTTATCACTTTGTGTGTACATATTACTCCTTGTTCTATTATCACTAGAGTTGACCAAGAATTTAGAGGTTGAGATGGATACATGCAGACTTAACTTTTATTCTCGTTGTTTTAATTTTTCCTTCTGATGAACTAAAAAAGAAGAGTTAGTACTTCTTTTTCTCCATTAAGCAAGTTGAGGTTACATTAACATAAATAACCAATAAGATGTCTATAGATGATTGAGACTGTGTATTAGTTTTTCTAAGACTGTCAAAATATGTTTTCATGACAAGATTATTGATACTTTTAAATGTGTTGTTGAGGTATGAGAGCTATGGCTTCTTTGAGCAGACCACTATGCCTGGCGACAGTATAATTTGTGGAAATGAGAAAGCAGCTGAAGCCAATGGTTTTAATGCAACTGCACAGCAAGTGCTGAAGGATCTTCAAATTGCAACACCCAAAATCACGGGTTACTATGCAGCTACCAAGACAAAAGTGGCCGGTGGTGCAATCTATGCCATTGCACAATGTGCTGAAACTGTCTCAGAGAGTGGTTGTCTGGAATGCCTCACAGTTGGATACAAAAACATAAACCTTTGTTTACCCAATAAAAATGGTATAGCATTTGATGCTGGCTGTTTTATGAGATACTCAGAGACAGCCTTTTTTGCTGATAAGCAGACCATCGATATCACACCCTTGAAAAAAGGTAGATTCAGGATAATTCCTTTACATTGATTATGAAACAAGGTAGAATAAATGATGTAAGAGTTAAATATGTTTTTAACTAAGTAAATTTACTTTTGATTTCTCAAATTTAAAATTGATTTTTTTAGTTACGTAATTTGAAAAAAAATATAATTTTAGTTCTTTGCATAGATGTCATTTGTGAGTTTGTCAAATAAAACTCAACTACTGAATCTGTTGAACAAAATTTAACTACTAGTATCATTATATTAAATTCAACTGTTATTATATAATTATCTCAATTTATTAATATTTATTATGTTATTGATAATCATGAGAGATTAAAATAAGATTTTTTAAAATTACATAAATTAAAAATATTAATTTTAAATTTAAGACATAAAAATAAATTTACTTTAATTTTGAGAAACTAAAAACACATTTAAATTAGGATGGTATATCACACCCTTCTTGCACATAGCACACCTACATCAATAGTATATATTTTGGACTGATGGTATATGTGGAACTGTCTTTTTATCTTGCAGGAGGTTCAAGCAAGAAAGGAGTCATCATTGGTGGTGTTGTTGGAGGAGTAGGTCTTGTTGTGATCCTCCTTGCACTATTTGCCTTGCTTAGACGGTACAAGAAACCCAAGAAGGCTCCAAGAGGTGAGACAATTTGGAAAGTCTTTGAATTGATTTCTTACCAAAGAAAATACAGTGGCACATCAGTTGCATGCTTCAAACTACCATTTTCAGGAGATTTCTTTTATCTCAATTACAAGACTTTTTAAATCCTCAATTTGCATTTTTAAGTCCCTCTCGAAGTCATAATACTAGTAAAGTTTAATTTTTATGCACTTTTATAATAGTCTTTTTACCGCATTAGCTAATAAGAAATTATTTTGAGTAAAAATTTAAAAAGTTATCATAAAAATTAACAAACTTATATGATTGCATGACAGTAATAAAACCTTTTAGCGGGTGTATTCAAGTTAAATTCATACTAATTAACTCGTACTAATAAACCATTTATTCTTTATTCCAAGGAATCAATTACTGTTGAATGAATAATTTCCTTGTTTCTATGTTTTTTGTTTTTTTCTTTTGAATATAGATAGATGAATGACTGGATTTGTTTATTCATTAAGATATTCCAAGTTATGTTTCCTTATCAGGTGACATATTGGGAGCAACTGAATTGAAAGGTCCAGAAACCTACAGGTATAAGGGCTTGAAGTCTGCAACAAAAAATTTCAGTGATGAAAATAAACTAGGAGAAGGAGGTTTTGGAGATGTATACAAGGTAATTTCAGCATTATTGTACATGTTCAAAAACAAGCGTGATTCTGAGAAAGTTTATGTTAAGATTAGGCAAAATTTATTATGAGCTATTCATCTGGAGACAAAGATAAATTGCTTTTCAGAATTAGCAAATTCTTCATCACCATTTTGTGGAACAGGGCACTTTGAAAAATGGGAAAGTAGTTGCAGTGAAGAAATTAATTTTAGGCCATTCCAGGAAGATCGATGAACAATTTGAAAGTGAGGTCAAGCTTATAAGTAATGTTCATCATAAAAATCTAGTTCGACTTCTTGGATGTTGCATTAATGGCCAAGAGAGAATTCTTGTTTATGAATACATGGCAAATAACAGCTTAGACAGATTCTTATTTGGTAAAACTCATGAATCTCCTAATTGAAGCATTTTGTGAATCTCTTTTTTTTAAATGTTTTTCTCTCTTCCTGCCCTACACTCCATCTATCTATTTAAATTTTTAAAATAGGTCAAAAGAAGGGTTCTCTCAATTGGAAACAAAGATATGATATAATTTTAGGCACAGCAAAGGGTTTGGCCTATCTACATGAGGATTTCCACATTTGCATCATACATAGGGATATAAAAACCAGCAATATCCTATTAGATGAAGATATGCAGCCAAAAATTGCTGATTTTGGGTTGGCAAGACTTCTACCGGAAGACCAAACTCATCTTAGTACAAGATTTGCAGGAACATTGTAAGTCTAAACCTTTATTTCTACTAGAGAGGCAGCTGTAATAAAGGAGACACCTATTATTATTATTATTATTATTATTATTATTATTATTATTATTATTATTATTATTATTCCATGCTATATATGTATAAATGTTCTTTCATTAACTATGCTATAAAAATTTTAAACATGTTAGGGGATATACAGCACCTGAATATGCAATCAATGGTCAGTTATCAGAAAAGGCTGATACATACAGCTTTGGCGTTGTGGTCCTAGAAATCATAAGTGGCCAAAAGAGTAACGAATTTAGGGCAGATGCTGAAGGTGAATTCCTCCTTCAAAGGGTAAGCAATTTCACATAACTGCATATGAAAATTACGAATTTTATTTTAGAGTAAATAGTCTATGCACTGGTATAGAAATGAGATTCAACACTATCATTCTATCACAATTGTCATCTATGATAAATTTATAAACTTTTATGTTAACTACTTAAAAAGTTAAAAGTCATACCTAAATAAATCGGTAAATGTCATTCGGGTCCTTGAAAGTGGATGTCTAAGACACTTTAGTACTTGAAAGTATAAAAATTCAAAAAAGAGTCTAATATAAAAATGTAAAATATTACTCAATTTAGTCTAGATTAAAAAAAAAATGACTTGAATACTAATATTAGCGTATATTTAGAGATTAAAGTCATAATAAGTGGTTACTTTTAAATACTTTAACGAAACAATTAGAACTTTCAAAGACTTGATCATAATTTCTTTATTTTCAAAGATTAAAGTGCCAACCACATGCATGTTTAAGGATTCAGATGGTGCTTTAAGTTTAAATAAATTCTGTTTGGTTGACAGCGGAAAGCTTTTGTACTGATAGTGGATAGAAGTTAAACTCTTTCAATTAGCATTTGGTCATACGAACTTTGGTTTTACTTTAACAGGCATGGAAACTATATGAGGAAAATATGCTTTTGGAGTTGGTTGACGAGACATTGGACCCTGAGGACTATGATGCAGAAGAAGTGGAGAAGATTACAGAGATTGCTTTGCTTTGCACTCAAGCATCAGCTGCTGCAAGGCCAACAATGTCTGAGTTAGTACTCCTACTCAAAAACAAGAATTCACTGGGGCAAATGAGGCCTTCTATGCCTGTCTTAGTTCAGTCTAACTTTAGGACCAAGGTAGAAACATCTACCTCAACTGGTTCCTCTATATCTAATGCTACTGCTACTGTTTCCATGCTCTCAGCTAGATGAATATCTTAAAAAGGAACTTGAAGTTTTGAGCTAATAACGAGGGAAACAATGTGTAAAAAGAAGGGGGGTTTTCTTACAGAATTCTTAAATACAGTACATTAATTAGTTCTATAAAAATACTAAGTATATATATTGTGAGATAGTGGTTGATGTATTGCTGATGAAATAGTCACTTTGTTGATAGTGAAGCACTTTACTAAACATTGGAACTGGCTTAGAGACTTGAGAGAAAGGTCTTTCACTAACATGTGTTCCCATTTTGCCTGTTGATGGGATATTTTCTTAGCATGTGAAGGGGATAGAACTTTCAAAATCTACACAAAATCTTCCACAAGTGTGATGATTGTATTGGGTGATAATAAAAAGATTTGTAAAATAGATATTGCACAATACAAAATACTTTAAATCCCCCCTAAAATTTTGTCCTCTCATTATTTCTTTTTTATTTTCGCCTATTATAAAGTTATTTCTCTATTTTTTTTATCGTGAAATATTTTTTTTGGCACCTTTGAATAATACGAAACTTTTGGGTACAAACCTTACCCGAAACCGAAATATGTATACAAACCTTCGAACTGTTTTTTTTTTTTTTTTTTTTTCAACTTTGAATGGATCTATTCTTGATTGAATATGAATATTACTTGTTCACTTTACAGAGTTTTTTTGAAAAATGACGCATAATATTAGAATTTAATTTAAATACACAGTCACAGTATAAAGTTTTTTTTTATAACTAATATCTAATGATAGATTATCCTATGAGTGTTTGCTTTTATGATAATTACACTAACAGATAATATTTTGAATATTTCTAATCAGCCAAAAGCGTAAATTTTTTTATATTATTGACGGTAAATGAAATTTTTTACTGATAAAAGTATATTAATTTTCTTATTTTATTATTGAACAGAGTGCTGTAAAAAAGGGCAAAGGATGGATATTTTATGCACAAACATCATTTTTACTATTAAATACAATTTTTGTATGACTATGTTATTGATGTGAAAGATCAATCAATTTTGTCAATGATTAAATTTCATCCAAAAATCTAATAATGCAGTTTCCTCTTTTAATTATATATATTTTTAATTTATAACACTTGAATATGAGATATTTATTGTTTAAAGGAATCTTCTCTTGGTTATACTATTATATTATTGATCATGGATATGGAAATATATTTCAAGTTGTTTAAATTCTGTTGCCAGTGTGCCACTATATATGAGAGGTGAGTAGCTTTACATAATATATAGACTTCAGCCAAATTTTCTAAGCACTAGCTTCTCATCAATGTTGACCACACTTTCATGCACTACGATTTCATCATTTATCTTCCTCCATATCTCTATTCCACTCACCAGAGGTGAGTAGCTAAATCAAAATCACTTATATGTTACATTCTTGTACAAAGCTAAAAGCTAGCTAGGATGCTGAAACCTAATCTTCTAGCCTTAACCTTGATATGGTGGTGCAGTAATAACATATTTCATGCATATGGTGCAGTTGGAACTCCACAGACACATCTACTAAACGAGGGCTGCAGCACATACAATGCATCAAAGTTGAGTAGCTTCTTTGCAAATAGCAATGCAACATTTTCAAAAATAAGAGATGAAGTTAGCAATGAGATCAATCACTTTGCCACAGCAGATGAAGCCAGGGAAGATGTGATCACATATACTATGTTTCAATGCTGAAACTATCTCTCCAAAACTGATTGTCTTGCTTGCTTCAACACTGCCACCACCCAAATCAGTAACTGCTCTGCTGGGAACGGTGCCATAATCATATACGATGGATGTTTCCTCAGGTTTATACATACATATTACACACGCATACATGTTACACTCATTTTCATCTCGGTCGTCTTTGTATTAATTACTTTTTTTTTTTTTTTAAATGCTTATAGTTTCATAAATCTTATCTTTTAATTTTATAATTAAAAATATTTTATTTTTGTTTTTATACATATACATTATTTTATTCTTTTTAATCTTTATAATTATATAAACTTCACATTTTATTCTTTAATTTATAAAAATAAACAACAGGAATTAAAAGAAAACTAAAATAGTATGTAAAAAATTTAAAATGAAACAATTTTAACTATATAAAGATTAAAATGTAAAATTTTAAAAATTATTTTGACCAAAAGGATAATTAAATCTATAATATATGATTTATATATTTTTTTTATCAACACACTCGGACATTGACATGATAAATTTACGTGTCAATTTTTTTCCACTGACACTATTTAATTAATTTTTTTTTCAGATTATGAAATTGATAATAGAGAAGGCGGTGAAGCTCTTAACTAAAGGAATTAGTGAAAAATCAAATAAATTGTATTTTAGGTTGAGTTGGAGTTTGAAGAGGGAACGACATGCATGTTGTAAAAAAAGCCCCTATCTTATTACTTTTTTTTTTTCTTCAAGTTTTGTTTTACAAAAATAAGTTGCTTATAATTTTAATTTAAAAGACTTTTAACCACTAGGGTTAGGCTAGTAGTTAGATTGAAAGGGTTGTCCTAATTAAAAGTATGAAAATTTAGGTTAAATCTTTATTGTACCATTTTTGTAATCTTTCCTATTCTTATAAAAAATTTAAGAGGTTTTTACAAAAAAAAAAAATGTTTGACTAAGATTTTCCAATTCAATAATTATCTTAATTAATTTCATGTTTTATAATAAAGGTTTCTTTTGTGCTGCAACTATTCGTTTAAGGTCTTCTTATAAATATATATTGATTTTGGGTGTGATGGCGAAGTGCGAGAGAGCAAACAGTTCTATGATCAAACAACCGAAGCTGGGAATGGCGTATATGTGGGAACACGACTTCAAAGAGTGCTGCTTTTAAAGCTGCAACACAACAAGTGCTAAGGGATAGTATCTTATAAAACAACCAACACCATATGCTCTCTACCCTCTGTGTTGGAAACACAACTTTGTAACTTGTTGTGTCCAACGGTGGTGCAATTGAAACAATCACTCTCTGTGGCAGTTTCAACACATTGTGCAACAGCATAAATTGCACCACATCTTTCTTTGCTGATAACCAAACCATTGATATCACACCCTATTTAAATCAAGGTATTATTACAATATAATTCTCTCCCCCTAGAATTTGTTAACTATTTCGGTTAGATAAAATATTCACTAATTTTATCGATAATTAATATTTATCAAAAAATTTGATTGATTTTTGATAAGATTTTCTTTCAATCGTGTTTTCTTTCACAAATCCAAATTTTAAGGAGATCGAATTCAATATTAAGGACTAATGATTGGTTGATCCTTTCCTTGATTTTGGATGAAAGAATGTATTTTTTTTTTGTTTGAAAAATGTGATGTATTCCCATTAATAAAAACTAGATAAAAGAAAGAGTATTTTAATAATTATGTAATGTAAAAGCTTATATCAATTGATTAAAATCATCTTTCATGTGATTTTAAAAATAATTATTATAAAAATCAAAGAATTTCAAAATATATTACATACCCAAGCATGCAATGTTTAGTTTTGCAATAAAAACATGTACAAGGAAAAAATCTTTTCCATTTTTCCTTTCATATCAAGTTAATTAGTCAAGCATAAAATGTATGGTTTCCATGATTTGTTTATAGGTTCTACACGGGGAACTGTTGTGCAAGGGAGTGGTGTAACGGCCAGATCCATGGCTTGGGGTTTCATTCTTGCACCGATCGTAGCTGCTGCTATAATATTGGTTAGTTTCAATATGGTGTCAAACACGAACATGGATGTTACTGTTTTCATTTTTGCTCACCTCAATTGGTTTATATTTTTAATATTTATAATGCTTTATATTTTAGTTCTGAATGGCTAATTGCGTGTTGGACTTCATAATATATGAAATCCTAACCCCAATTACGGGGTGATCCTAATGTTTCTTACATGGTTTATCTTTTGTGTCAAAGTGGTGGTGATTGTCTTTGACTGTTTCTAACTTTCATTGTTGTTAGTTGATCGATTGAACGTGTTAGCGCAATCAATTAGTTGTCCTTTTATAACTCATCAACATTCTTACTAATACTTACTTTCCATTTTCAAGGCTTTTTAGTCTCTGTCCTTGGCTCAAGTTGCAATGGCAAGGATATTTGGCAACAAAAAGTGGAGCAATATGAAAGTGCGGAAGTTTGAAGGCTCATGCTTGATGATAATTTCAAGATTTTCATCATTTGAATCTCAAGGAGAGGATGATAATGGTAATGAGGATATGGATGAAGACGACTCTTTGCTTTGATTAGTTTTTTTTACAATTTTTTTTAATGTTATAGACAATTGAATTGGTTTGATAAGATGAAAGAGTGGAAATTGGGGGAAAAGTGTCAAACAAGATTTTGGTTAGATAATTGTTGAGATTTCCGTTGAAGTACTTTTGTTATAATTTACTCACATCTTTCATTCTCCATTTTCATACACTCACATGCCGCATTCGCTTTCCTTCACTTTTTGCAACTTGGCATAACCGTCTTCTCCGCGCCTCACTGTCCTCACATGCCGCATTCGCTCTCCTTCACTTTTTGCAACTTGGCATAATCGTCTTCTCCGCGCGTCGAGGTCTTCATTCATTTTTCACGCTCAACCGAGTGTGTCCTCGATCGAGGTTTTGAGTTGTCTTTCACGCTCGACCGAGTGTGTCCTCGATCGACGTCTTGAGTTGTTTTTCGTGCTCGACCGAGTGTGTCCTCGACCGATGTCTTGAGTTGTTTTTCACGCTCGATCGAGTGTGTCCTCAACCGAGGTCTTGAGTTGTTTTTAGGCTCGACCGAGGTCTTGAGTTGTTTTTAGGCTCGACCGAGTGTGTCCTCGGCTGAGGTCTTGAGTCTAGGCGCTCGTTAAACCTAAAATTATTTCTGGTATTATTATTCACTGGGGTGCCTCGTTAAAAACCTTGCTTAGTAAAAACCCTTTCACGTTCTTTTAGGGATAAAAAGCTAAGCAAGGAAAAGAGTACACCGAATTATAATGTTTTTCAAATGTAATACATTTTCAAATGTGTTGTATTCCATGTTCTTGGCATTAACTTTCCATTTAATTCTTCTAGCTTGTATGCTCTATTTCGCATGTTTTGATTAATTCTGTATGGTCCATCTCAATTGGCCGAGAGTTTTCCTTCCCTTGGATTCTTCCTTGCTTCCCAATTGGCATAGGCTCGGCTCTAGCTTGATTTCTTGATTCAGTTAATTCCTCCATTTGCATTTATTCATATCCAACAGAGGTTTTTTGCATAAACTATTTACAAAAGGTTCGAGGTTCAACGCTGTGTTCAACTTATCCATTATGACAGTCGGGTTCAAGTTTTTTATCTCCATTGTTATTTTGTTAAAACGATCCATAAATGACCTTAAGGATTCCTTCTTTTCCTATTTGATGTTGGCCA